TATCTATCTATCTATCTATCTATTAGGGCTGCACGATAAATCGCATGCGATTTTTAACGTGCATCTTATCAGTAAAGCCGGTTCTGTAATCAGCGGTAAATCCCCATCACCTGCGGGCTTTCACATTGAGCAGCATTAACTACACAGAGCCGTTGTTCACTGACGAGCTGCGCAAAACCACGTTCATATTGCATGCGATTTATCGTACAGCCCTACTATCTATCTATCTATCATTCTATCATTCTGTCATTCTATCTATTGTTCTGTCGTTCTGTCTATCAAAAAATGTACTCTGGTAAATACCTGTGAGGTGTTGTTTCACACTGGACCCAGGGTTGATATGAGAGAGAAAGTAGCTGTCTAGCCCAAAACAAACATTATAAGCACAGCACATCCCCTGCCTCTCCACTGAATGAGTATTACAGTGGCTTGACCCTCCATCGGTGGCTGGATCACACAGCCAGCCCAAAGCTACAGACCCACTTAAACATATTACAGTACTGCACATCTGTCTTTCACTACATTTCCCCTTGGAAATGAAAAAGGAGTGGGGGGGGAAACAATTCTTTTTGCTTTTTATTGCCGTCTCTTCGCCATTTTCTGGTGAAAAATGTAGCTGTGATTGGGAGGGACAGAATGTGCGTTTTTTCTGGTTTTGAAATGATAAAACAATGGAAAAGAATGAAATAAGGCAGACACAGTTTAGTTATACATTTTTTAAATGAAATGTGTGAAGCACAGCCATATATATAACCTTAGTCTGAGAGAACCATAAGAACAATTCCTGGTATTGGTATTAATGTTACTTGAATAAATAAAATATTTACATTTCCAATAATCAATTTGCTCCTACAAGATTTTAGCGGCATTAGATTTTTCTGTAGGTCATAAACTTCATCCAAACTCTGAAAATGTTTTTCTCCCTATGTCTGATAGATGGGTTACTTTGAGTTTCAGTTGTTTTCACAGAGGCATATATAATTTTCCAGAATAAAATGTCAAAACTGATGATAGCAGTCAGTTCGGGAGAATGAGGAGGCTGTTTTTTGTGAACCTGTGTTTAAATAATTATATGGGTCTTTTGTAAGTAATTAAAGAGGCGGGCAAGATTGGTGACTCCCTCACAATACAGCCAAATTTTGCTCTGTTGAATCTTTGATAAAATTACTAGATGAAACGTTCTTGTAATCACACAGTCTGCTTTCAGGAAAACCAGCCTTTACACACAACAAATAACACAATACCTAAAAGCCAGTGTTTGTTTATTTATTTCTTTAATTTTTTTAGAGGTCCTCTATTTGCTAAAAAAAACCTCAAAATCTGAATGTCAATGCTGAATGTCTGGTCTTGTTTGCGAGCTGATAATATTTCATTATATTGTGCGATATTTAGCGCTGGCTCTGAAATAGCTTCACCGTTTGCTCTGGCAAAAGGTAGAGAGCCACGCTGATTAAGATGGATTCACCAATCCAGCAAAGAGTATTAGATCAGGTTCAACACCTCCCAGAACCCCCCTCCTCATCTAAGCTGTGGTCACGTAGACACAGTTTCTGAAACTCTGAGATATTACTTTGAAAGTATTAGGGCTGTGATTAGGGGGTGAAAAAATGAAGGGGGAAAAAGGGTGGAATTTTTCCTCTATTTCTGTCGCTGCTTCATGCCGCCGTATGAACAGACAGCTCTGTGTGATGTCTTTGCTAGAGGACGCAGACAGTGACTGGAGTCCATTAAAATGATCATTGGGCCATTGAGTGTGTGAGAAAGCACTCCATCAGAGGCCCACAGATTAACCCATTACAGTGGTGGCATGCGGGGCCCCTGGTAGGTGTTGGGTATGTGCTGTGTGTGAGTGTGTATGAGCATCTCATGCTGCTTGCACCCTGGTTTCCTTAATGTCTTTCGTAATGATGTGTCTCTCACTGTATGTAGAAGCACAGTAAGTTGCATATTCCAGTTATTGCACTTATATAATAATAAATGCACAAACACACACATTCAAATATGCTCATACGTAATGAAGTTAAGGGGATAAAAATGAATTGCACCTGTTGCGTGCACTGTTTACACTCATATCCCGATCCTCTTTTTGTTCAGGTCTGTTTTTTTTTTTTTTCAAATAAAGCGTAATTTATTATGAGCCTAATTTGCATTAAAAGAGGCATGTCTTACTAAAACTTAATTTAAATATTATTGCAATGTGACTTTGTGTGTGTTTAGTGAAAAAGACGCAGGTGTTTGTGCAAAACCAGCACAACTGTGAATTTGCCTCAAGTGTGTTTTTGTAAATCCAGTCACTCTCATTAAATTCTACTGTCTCTCTGATTGTTTCTGTCAGTGGTTAATGATGGGTGATAAGTCGCTCTTTGCAGAGCAGTTGTAATTTTTAAGCGAATTGATAACTGGCTGAGAGTGATTAGTGATACACATTGCACAGTAATTCCCTTTGAAATTCACCATGAAAGACACTTGTTCAATTCAATTCAAGTTTATTTGTATAGCGCTTTTCACGATTCAAATCGTTGCAAAGCAACTTTACAGCAAATTAAGTTTCTACAATATTTAGTAGTAGCTTATCAGTGGTGACTGTCAGTTAATGTACATATGGCAGAAATGTATGGAAAAATCATATGATTTTCAAAAGACAAGTTGCTATCTAATATAACACCCAGATTTTTGACTGTATATGAAGTAACAGTACATCCATCTAGTTGCAAATTGTAATCCAAGAGATTCTGTGTACTGTTTTTTGGTCCAATAAGTAATATCTCTCTCTTGTCCGAATTTAATAGGAGAAAATGATTGGTCATCCAATCTTTTACATTTTTAACACACTCTGTTATCTTAGATAATTTAGAAGTTTCATCTGGTCTTGTTGAGATATATAGTTGAGTATCGTCAGCATAACAGTGGAAACTAATCCTGTATTTTCTAATAATATTACCAAGGGGCAACATGTATATTGAAAATAGCAGAGGACCTAGGACATATCCTTGTGGCACTCCATATTTTACTGGTGATAATTGAGATGAAATTATAAATGAACAAAGTGGTAGCGATCAGACAGGTAGGATCTAAACCAGGGGTCGGCAACCCGCGGTTCTCGAGCCACATGCGGCTCTTTCACCCCTCCGTGGTGGCTCCCTGTAGTATGGGCATAGAATACGCCGGAGACGTGTTCCCCAGACTTTTAATAAAACCTAAACTCTTCCCTTGCACTTTTTTTTCGGGCAAGTGTGTTCACGCAGAGGTTTTCAAGTGCCAGTGTGAATAAATCTAGATTTAAATTAAAAGAGACAAGATAGTCACATCGTTTTGGATATGTTTTATTCGTATCCAGAAACGTTGTGAACATGACGAAGTGCTCAACACTCTCCTGCAGTGTATGTTTCATTCATACTCGAAGCCGGAGGGCACTCTTGAGCAGAAAGTCCAAAACGGACTTATAGAAGTAGTAATAACTTTTGACATGCAGGAAATCCAAAGGCATCCAGTGATCGATGTAGCAAGATGAATAACAAGCATATACCATAACTAATGAAACGTGAAGACAATAAACAATTGCGACAATATATGGTTTATGTTTGTTTTTCCAGGTAATAAATAAAGTATATGAATTATACAGTGCTAACTGACATAAGATATATTACAGTACAGAAGCTATAAAATATATTTTTTCAGCCTTATTCTGTGATAAAAATGGAAAAAATGTTTGTAGTATAAAACAATCATAATCAAAATTGTAATGAGGAAAATATCTATTAAAAATACGAGTATGAATCTATGAGTATGTCATGATCTATAGTGTCGAACGCAGCACTAAGATCAAGTAAAACTAGCAATGAGATGCAGCCTTGATCTGACGCAAGAAGCAAGTCATTTATAATTTTAACAAGTGCAGTTTCTGTGCTATAGTGGGGCCTGAAACCTGACTGAAATTCTTCATAGAGATAATTTTTTTGCAGGAAGGAGCACAATTGAGCAGACAACTTTTTCAAAAATGTTAGACTTAAACGGAAGATTTGAAATGGGTCTGTAATTTGTCAGTTCACTAGGATCTAGTTGTGGTTTCTGAATAAGAGGCTTAATAAACGCCAGCTTGAATGGTTTTGTGACGTGACCTAAAGACAACGATGAGTTAATAATATTGAGAAGCGGTTCTTCTGCTACAGGTAACAACTCTTTCAGTAATTTAGTGGGTACAGGATCTAACAGGCATGTTGTTGGTTTAGATGCAGTGATAAGTTTATTTAGCTCTTCCTGTCCTATAGTTGTAAAGCACTGCAGTTTATCTCTGAGTGCGATGAATAAAGCTGAAGTATTAGACGCTGTAGAATCTACATTTGTGATTGTATTTCTGATGTTATCTATTTTAAGTCATTACTTGTCTTTTATCGTTGTAAAAAACATATTTTATGGAGATGATGCCGTAAATGTATTCAATCTCTTGTTTTAAGTTTTGGAAAAATAATGTGCCTTTGGTAACAGACCCATAGTTGTCTTGTATGCACTGTTAAGTTGTGAGTCAGCTTCCGTTTTAGTCATTTAAAATGAGTATTTTCCATACAATTCAATAGTCTTTATTATATAAACAGATACTTCTGACTCTGATTGTATGACGTGCATTAGAAGTCATTTTTAAACTGCAGATATATGCATCATTTCACATCATTTGATTCTATACTAATGCACCAAGTTTCTGTGTTGCTTGGTTACCACAAACTGACTATAGTTAGTCTAATGAACTCTATTAGTTAGCAGAATTGTTTATTTCCACTAAGTAATATAGTAAATATAGACAAAATATCCTCTTTGCATGAAACACAGCGCTTTCCTGGAAGCTGAAAGTTTGCTGTTGACTCCAGTTTGCTTTTATAATATATCTATTATATTTTGTATATATTTACTTGTAATGTAGTTACTGTATATAGATTTTGTGTGTGTATACACATACTGTTCAAAGTAACAATAATTTTTTCAAATTAATTATTTTGCTCAGCACAGATGCATTAAGTTGACGAAGCAGCAGTGAAGACTTTTACATTCTAGCACATTTTTCCTGTTTCAAACTATTCGTAAAGCCGTGCTTCTGCATCTATTCATCAAAGAATCCTTTCTTTCAAAAACATTAAAAATCCTAGAGATTGTAACTGTAAATCACTCTTACTCATAGTCTATTGTGTCTTCTTGCTTTGGCAGCACATGGCCAAACCAGTTGATATAGTTTCTACAAATTTCACACAACACAGCCATAGAACAGCAGTTCAGGGACATTCCCATTGGAGCAACCTGGGGTTAAGTGCACAGTGGTGTTGACTTACAGCCATTGAACCAGCAACCTTTGGCTACCAGCCCTGAGCCTTAGCCAATAAACCACCGCCTCTTAAGGTAGATTTTATTATGATAAAGTCCTCAAGGATATGCTGAATTTGTAATCCTTACTTCTAATGGGCACATGAGTCAGAGGAAGCTTCCTTTTGCTTTCGCAAACTCTGTTTACCTGTAATCAACCATCCACACCGTGGAGGGCATTACACAGGCCATTTTTCTTTAGTTAGTGGCCCTTGAGAGAGAGGGAAAAGGTAGGTCAGGATCAGTCTTTGGGAATTACTGTAATAGCAGCTCACATGAGCAGAGGAGGAGAGGGTAAAGTTCACTGAGGAGACTCCTCCCATGTCCTCCCGGCTTGATGAGGTGACAAATCGAATCCCCCCTTACATAGCATGAGTGTTGAATGAACATCTCTCCATCTGGATCTCTATCCTCTTGTGCTGAATGGATGAATGCATCTGTATGCATGGATATATGTGTCATCACAGTGGGATAAAAAGCTTCAGACTTTTTAAATTGGTTCACAAACGCTCTGTGTCCTCTTGCTAATGTCTGTAATCAGATTCAGCTTCTCAGATCTGCACCTGATTTAAAAACCTGCAGTGTCCCCAAAAATTGTTTGGACACTTTTGGGCATACTTAAAGTCTTGCCTTAAAGTCTAAAGACACTTTTTAATTTACATTTCAAGCTGTTTAAAATTCCTTGCAATAGATACAAAATTTAAAACCAAATTGCATCTGCAAACAAATTATACTAGATCTTTTCACAGAACTAACTTCTTCTCTTTTCTGAGCAGCATTTTCATTTATTTTAACTGGACTCTTGGTGATTTTTCATGGATGTATGAAGTTGTTTCCCATCAAATTTACACAGGTGTAGCAACAGAACCATTTGTGTAGTTCTTTTATTTATAAAAGTTTGATAATCAGAGCATTCATATTTTGATACCTACTAGTATTTTTTTTAATGGTTTATTTCAAAAGCTTAGTTCTGTAGAATACATTCCACTTCTTTTGATATTTGATTATAATGCAAATCAGTTATGCATTTAATTATGGTTAAATTTTCAGAATGCTTTTTGGGGCAATTATACTGTTCAAAAGGTAGAGGTCAGTAAGACTTTTAAATGTTTTTGATACAAATTTCTTATGCTCACTAAGGTTACATTTATTTGATCAAAAATACAGTAAAACCAGTAAAATTGTTAAATATTATTACAATCTAAAATAACTGTTTTCTATTTTCCAAAACGCTATAAATCCATTTTGATTAATTTGAGTAAAAATGTGTTTTCTTTACCACGAAAGTGGCAAGATGAAAACCAATATTTTCTGTTTCAAACTTTCACATAGCATATGTAGGTTATAATAACATTAAAAATTCAAATCCAGATTTAGACTTTCAAAGATTTATTATAAAATTGTATTATTTTTCCCCCAAAATTCAATGAATCCATGACACGTTTTTTCTTCTTCTTTTTTTTCCAAAATGCAATAAATCCATTGAATCAATATAAAAGTTATTTTTCATATTGAAACTGTTGAAAATACACAACATAGTGTTGATCCACATATGACAGCCTCTGAACTTGGTCAATACTACTCTTATATGCAGACACTGGACTAAAAATACATTCAATCAGTCATCGCTCCCAAAATGAATTCAATGGGTCATCTTGTTAATGCTATAAATTAATTATAACAATAAAAGAAAATTTCATCATGAACATACATGAACAACAATATCACATTAAACCACAGAAATTCCAAAATGACATTTTCCTTACTTTAAACTTCCAAAAGTGCATTCATCTTTGCCATGAATACATTCATTTAGTTGACTAGTGCTATACGCTGTATTAACAAAAACATTAATGGCATTAATAAAAACACTTACACTGACAAGCTATGCAATATCGCGTTCATTATCGAATGCGACTCATCTGCGATTATGAACGCGATATAGCAGTGATCTATGGCCCTGTGTATTAAATGCCGCTCCATCTGAAAGCACGTGATGGAGATTTACTATTAATCACAGAACCGGCTTTACTGAGGAGATGCGCATGACAATCACATGCGATTTATCGTGCAGCCCTAAGTTTGTTTGTTGATCACAAAGTACAAAGTAGATGAGGAAAACTAGGATGCCGTGCGTATTCAAAGCGCCGCCATTACTGTCTAGAGTGTGTGGAATGGTGTGCTGTGATTGGTTGTTTCTGTTTACAGTGCATTGAATGGTGCGCTGTGATTGGTTGAGCGGATATTTCGCATTCTGCAGAGAAGGGAGACTGGCTTTTGTCGCGGTTTGGAAAAAAAGCGAGAAAACATGACAGAATAACTCGGCGGATATCGCATTTTGCGTAAAATTAAAAATGGACTTTTCAATACCGACCAGATACAATACAGATTTTTGCGGAAACTACATTTTTAAAAAAAATGGTGGTTATCGCATTTTGGAACCAAACTCTTCATATATATATTTATATATTTTTTTTTTTTCTTTCTTTCTTTTCTCAATGTTTAAAACAGTTATATTTTTGTGGAAACATTATAAAAAATGTTTCCAGATTCAATACATAGAAATTTTAAAAGAACAGCATTTAAATTGAAACAGATTTTTTTTTTTAGGAATGTAACGTGTAACTTGTGATCAATTTAATACTTGTTGATTTCTTTCAAAAAAATTAATTGTTGTTGACCCCAAACTTTTCAAGAGTAGTGTATATTAAAATGATTTTGCCTTAATATACAGCCACCGAGTCTTTTGAATGCCTGTTAATGAAGTAAGAGGCTTTTTAGGCCCACACAGGGTAGTTGCGGCCTCTACCAGCAGGAAATACTGTGCCATGCTGACCAGCCGAACCCTAACCCCTAGAGACCAACTACTATAACGTTCCAGAAGCGTTCCTCATGACATCACTTCCTGTTTTTGGCCTCCCATTGTGATTCAGTGGCACTACCAGAGCGACAGTGATGAGACGTCTGTGGTGTGTTAGGGCTTATGCTACATCATGTTTCTGGCGAGTGTGGAACTGCACTTTCACAAGTTCAAGGACAGCTCAGCGACAGACAGAGCCTGCACTGCTCTGTTATGACAGCTTTTCTCACACCATAGCCACCAACAAGAATGTGTAGAAATCAGTCCTTAGCACAGAGTTCCCCTCTCTCCCATCTCGCTGTCTCTGATCGGTCATACGGATGGATGCTGTGTTGGGGTGTAGCCCCCTAGCTACCTCCGCCGCTGAATGTGTGAGATTGTTGCCGGAGGCCATCCAGTCTTCTTGCGTGCTTGACAGGTCTTCAGCCTGCCCGTATGTTTGTATGTGTGTATGTTGGGAGTTCTTTCATTTGGGATGAGGGGTGCTGTGCTGCTGAGAGTGAGCTGTTTAGCTTTAACTGGATCTCATTTGTCAGAGGCTGTCAGGCCTGCAGATGTCTGTGTCTCAGAGAGGTGCCTCCATAGATCCAGCCTGCTGCTTCCTGAAGAGATTTCAGCTCTACCCTCCGGCATGCAGTTGAAGAGAAGGAGTCTTCAGTCAAACTGGCTCTTTCTCTCTCTTTCTCTCTCTCTCTCTCTCTATCTCTCTCTCCCTGTCTGACTTTCTCTTCATTTCTCTCTCCCTCTATTTGCCAACCAGGTATCTCCTCGGCCAGCTCATTAAGACTCTTGATCATGCAGTAAAGTGTCTCGAGTGCATTGTCAAGCAGGTATTATTTGTCATGCTGTTGTTGTTTTTCTGTCCTCAGCTGCTGTTGTGGATTATTAACATGATAACACCATGGTGTTCTACAGATTACGTGTCTCCATCCTTTGTTTGAGACGCTTGGATCATAATGATGATGATGACAACACCCTTACAAAAAAAGTACTGTGGTAGTACCCACAACCTGGCGACATGCTTTTTTCTTGTGGTACTTAAGGGGCTAATAATATTCTATCCAATGTTTCTCATCTTCTGCTCTCTTCTCATTTCATGTTTGATATTTAATCTATTGGGATTAGCGTGGAAGTGATATTTCTTTTCGTCATGTCGTACCTGGTTAGGACACAATATAATAATAAAAAAAAACAAGTCACATGCTTTATGAATCAATGCATGAAAGTGATGATTTGTTCACCACTAATTCTTATTTCAAGGTTTTCAAGGTGTTTGGCACCATTTATGATTCATGACATTGCTGGAAACATCAGGATCTCTCTGTGTGTGTGTGTGTGTGTGTGTGTGTGTGACATTACGAGTGTTTGCGCATATCCCTTTTGAAACATGCTTTAGAATGCTTGTTCTGGTTAAGAAAGTGATATATTGATCGAAAAACAGCTTGAAAGATTTTATGTGTGGCCACAGACATAATATAAACAGTGCAAGAAAGATCTGACACATTTAAAATTTGCCTTCACTGTGTCCCCAACAGATTTCATAAATTCAGAGCCGTTTTTCACACTTTGCAGATCAGTCCAGCAGTGAAAGACTAGGAGAAGAAAAATATGGTAAACTTAGACATGAGCACATAAACAGCTTTTGTCTTTTTTGTACTAATCTGATGGCACAAGCATTCAATATCTTGGCCGTATTATCGCATTCATTTAAGATGAGAGCACCAGTCTTTCTGTGTGGCAAAAACTCAGTCCAGTCCAGATAACATTATCAGCATTCTTAACTATCATTGTGACAAATGAG